AAGCTGGCCACTCCATTCTCATGAATGTCATTCACAACTCGTCCTCTGTGTGGTCTGGCATTGTCATCTTGAAACTGGGGAGGCCCACCGATAGTTGACGCTTAAATGGTATCACAAATGGAACAATATTCTCATCTCGTTGAGCTGTGAGATTTCCTTCCACAACATAAAGAGGAGTCCTCCCAGTAGCCGTTATACCACCCCATACCATCACTGAACCACCACCAAATCGGTCATGGGTTGCTGCTGTTGCTTCAGCAAAACGTTCATTCTGACGTCGATAAACCCGCCTATGACCATCATGAAATGAGAGGTTAAACCTGCTGTCATCGGTAGAAAGAACAGATGACCACTGGCGTTGATTCCAACGAATATGAGCACGACAGAACGCCATCCGTGCCTGACGATTACGAGGGGTCATTCCAGTTCTGACTGCTGGTCGCCGAGCTCTAAGTCCCACAGAGAGTAAATGACGGCGTATGGTGGACACATTCTAACCCTGTCCCGCCCACTTCGTGTTGTATCTATATGTACTTTGTTGTGGAATCCTAATTTACATACAAACTTCCTAAATACTTGACTTCATGAACTGCCAGTGTTTATGTACAGGTATGTCACAGCACCAGAACACAAAGAAGATCCAGGATACAGTCTGCACCTGTACACTGACCCATCTTCCAGAAATAGGAAACCTGTAATGCCAAATCTTTGAAAAGAGGATCCACAGTTATCCAAACAATTAACTAACTTTTGAATAGAATGTTACACAAAATACAAATGTGTTGTTTTTTTCATCAGAGATGTTTAACTGCTGAATACTAGTGTAAATAAGGTGCAAAGAACATATCCTATGTTCAAAGCTTTTTGTCAATACAATTACATTAATTGACATTAATGATAAGCATTGTTTTATTAGATCTGAGACTATATCCCTAGAGGACATAACACTGATTTTGATCTGTTTCCTTCTCTGAGATACTTACTAGTGTCATAAGAATTATAGTAAAGTTGATTCAAAATTTGGTAAAAGAAAACACACATGAAAATGTCCTGAAGCTTTCACCTCCTGCAAACCAGTGTGCAATTTAATGTGAAGCTCATTTTCCAAGTAACCATCAACAAACGTTGAACAATTTGTCCAAACCCAATAAACATTAACTTTGGCTCAGTCTTCAAATATTAGTAACCTTATAAAAATATGATGATTTACAAGAAGAATTACATCAAATCTGGGTTAAATATATGATTTTAAAAAAATCTCAAAGCAGGAGCCAAGAAACTTAGTTAATACCAAGTGATTGTATTGTGTTTGTTTGCCTAGTTCTACCTTAAAATCATTTGAATCTGATACGTCAATCAGTTAAATAATTATTTGTAATTCATTAAATTACTATATATTTTATTACCCTTCCACGTTTACTAGAAAAACGCAAGATTCTTAAAACATACCTTGCTATCATTTCCAGTGAATTAATCAAAATGACAGTTGTAATATTGCTCCTAAAACGTACCAATACTTGTGAATAATTTTTGTTGTAACAAAACTTCAAATATTGTTCTCGTAATAAGGATTTACACTTTACATCACTCCGCCCAATACTCCAGAAGTCACTATATATATTCTTCTTACATAGTTTTCGTATTCATTCGATCAACGTGGAGGAAGGTAATTCAATTCCAAGTCACATGCATCTCTTTATAAAACTTCTGAAATATTTAAAGCATGGTTTTATAGGCACTCATATGAATTAATTTTTATGCTTGGATATTACATGATAGGCAGCTGCTGACACTGACAATATTTCCGTTTGAATAAAAAATATTACTCCTCGAATAATTTGCTCTGTTAACAAGATACTGTACAGTAGGCTTAAGATTGTGCTTTTGAAACTTAAAACATCCTAAAATGTGTGACAAATTCATGAAATTTAGGAATATCTAAGAGCGAAGGGAACACTATCCGCCACGTTGTTCTTTCATGTAACAAGTTTTGCTATTTCGGTCGACCCTAACCGAAATCAGATCGCTGTCAGATTTGTAAACATTGTGTCACGGCTTTCTCGCCTGTCTCATTTGAGCTTTATGGCGTACCAACTTATTGCCCATTAGTTACTAAAAACGTTGAGCAAAAACAATTTTGTAGTTACAAGAATTGTCCATGTTTATAACACTTGCAAAGTCTTAAACTACTTTTTGTTGTCATCACATTGGTAATGATTTTGCACATGAACAAAAGTGTGGAAATGCGTGCAAATTCTCATCTGCAGGCAGACGTAGGTTTCGTGAACGATGGTGGAGACATTTAACTGATCGTTAGGCCTGTCTTTAAGACCGCCTCAATTGTTTTGTCTTGACCGTAATGGTTTTGGTAAAGGTACGCATCAAATCGCAGCAATATGTAATCGATATAGCGAGTGTAAATGGCATAGTTCGAAGAACATCACTTCGGAGGCATCGTTTGACCCCTGAAATAAGTCCGACAAATCCACACAGCGCGCCCGGCCTGCTGATTGGCCAAAATTGACGCATGCGCCAGTTTTGATTGACAGACTGGATCGGTGTATTACGGAGAACGACGTTTCTGAGGTGCCTGTCTTAACGTCGACCTGGCCTTGGAGCATACGCCACAGTTCCTGTCACCTTGAATCGTTGCCACAGTCTACAAATGACACTTTGAGACACTTTAAAATGTCTGGCAGCTTGTCGTTGACTTTGTCCTTTATTAAGCATTCCTTTTGCTTCACCTTGTTCTTCAACGGGGCGGTGGGGTAGTCTAGTGGTTAAAGCGTTGGCTCGTCACAATGTGTTAAGCCCATTTCTGGTGTTCCCCCGCCGTGATATTGCTGGAATATTGCTAAAAGCGGCGTAAAACTAAACTCAGTCAGTCAGTCCGTGTTCTTCAACACTCAGAAAACGCCACATTATGAAAGAACGCTGTGAGTTAAGATACGGGATTTAAAGTGTAAAGACCGATGCCACTTGAAAACTTTCATTACACATTTTCCACGTGCATTGGCACATCACTGGATGTCTAATGACGTTTAAATCATATATAGGTGATATAATGACGTTTAGTATATAAGGAAATCGGCAGGGACCGAGAGATGATTTCGACACAATCGAGAATTCGTCTCAACCGAGTCCGAGACATTGGGGTTCGACTGTATATAGTATATGAACTGTATTGTTATTTGTATAGTGTCCTATACTTGGTACATGTTGAAGACGTCTGCCCAGCACATCCCAGACGTGTTCGATGGGATTCAGGTCGGGAGACCTTGAGGGCCACTCCATGACATCGATGACCGCATTCCGGAGGAAATTCCTTGTCAAGTTGGCGTTATCGTGTTGTAAGACCAGGCCTGGGCCATGAGCTGCCATGAAGGGTAGAAGCTCTGGAGTTAGCACTTGATGTCGATATCCTGCAGCATTAAGGTGTCCCTGGACAACAAGCAGTCGGGAACGGACATGTCCACAAAAGGCACCCCAAACCATAACACTTCCGTCTCCGAATCGGTCCACGTTTCCTCCATACTCTGATCCTGCTATCAGCGAAACGTAGAGAGAATCTGGATTCATCAGTAAACACAACCCTATTCCACTGCCTCTGAGTTCATCTCAAGTGCCGTTGTGCCCACAGCTGCCGTTGACGTCGGTGTAAGGGTGTCAAAATGGGTCCACGATATGGTCGCCGTACATGAAGGCTCGCAGGCGATTACGTATGGTAACATTGTTTTGCGCAGACACACGACCTTGGAACAGTTCATTTCTGGTGGATGTTTCAGTGACAAATCGATTGTGAAGGTGACGCAACAAAATATAGCGGTCTTCCGCTTGTGACGTCACACGTGGTCCACCAGGACGGGGACGGTCAGCTGTGGAGCCCATTAATTGCAGCTGTGTCCATGGATTATGGATTGTCCGGCGACTGCATCCGATCACCCTCGCAACGTCAGCTACGGACGTACCCGTGTGCAGCATGCCAACGGCACGTTCACGCTGAACATTTGACAGTCATGGCATTTAAATTCACAGTATCAATTCTTGTTTGAACTCGTTTTCCTGATTTGTCACTCTACCGTGCGTATGTGAACACAAAAGCATGTGGTCACGTGACAAGTGGCACGTGAAAACACACTTTTGGTCCAAAACTCGTTTGCGTTTGCTACAGATCGGTGCACGTGGGCATTGATGTTCGGCATGTCGTCTTTGACAATGTCTTTACCGTCAATATTCATAACAACTGTCAGTTAACAAATTTTAATTCATTCTTTACAAATTTATGGGTGTGAAGTTTTTAATTTGACTGAGTATGTATGACTATCAAATTTAAGGGTGTCCCCATACTTTTTGTTTGTAGTATATATCGGCTAAGAAGAAAGACAATGAAGATCAAGGTCGCAATGAGAGATGGAATGAGTGATATGCTGGGAGGATACCTTCCTGGGTCCACTGCTTACAGCGATGAGTTACATAAGCTACTTTGGTCATGGGCCTCTCTTGAAAGCAATTTTGGATAATGTGCGATCCTTGAATCAGATCCGACAAAGAGGTCCTGTTTACTGACACTGAAGTGTGATGTCAAGGACATATTGTCCAACGTGGAACAGACTGAGGCTGAAGACAACGTGTCCAATGGCCATAGTAACCAAGAGACAGACAGGGCATAATCTTATAATATGACATTTTCATTGTGTAAGATACTGTCAAGATATCCTTCAATCTTTGGGGGCGGTGGGGTAGCCTGGTGGTTAAAGCGTTCGATCGTCACGCCGAAGACCCGGGTTCGATTCCCCACATGGGAAAATGTGTGAAACCCATTTCTGGTGTCCCCCGCCGTGAAATTGCTGGAATATTGCTAAAAGCGGCGTAAAACCATACTTAATCAATCAATCAATCAATCCTTGACTATTATGTATATGTATGGGCACCAAATAAAGAACACTTCGGTCTGTCCTCCGTCTAGATAACACAAGGTCAAAACACAATAAACACATTCATAACATTCCAAACGTTTATTACGTATCCCATCCTGTTCTTTTCCTGTCTGATATATTTGATAGGATACTATACACAAAGATAGTGTCCATCAATGGCCAACACATCCTGATTTTTTAACTAACAGTCAAGCCCTTAAACTTCAAATACATTAATAATCTAGAGCTTCATAAGACACAAAGCAGTAATCTACAACAGAAGTACCTAAAATTGAACTAACAGTTGATTGTAATTAGAACTTAACTACCCACCTCATAGTGTATCATCATTTGATCTTAATTCTGATCTCAATGTCTATCTGTTCTTAATCTGTCCCTCTATAACCCATCCCCTGTGACTCGGTCCTCCATAACTCATCTCCCTGTCAATCGGTCCTCCATAACCAACATCCCTGTGATTCGATGTTCCATAATCCATCTCCCTGTTATTCGGTCCTCTATAACCCATCTCCTGTGAATAGTTCCTCTATAACCAACATCCCTGTGATTCGATGTTCCATAATCCATCTCCCTGTTATTCGGTCCTCTATAACTCATCTCCCTGTCAATCGGTCCTCCATAACCAACATCCCTGTGATTCGATGTTCCATAACCCATCTCCCTGTTATTCGGTCCTCTATAACCCATCTCCCTGTGAATAGGTCCTCTATAGCCCATCGCCCTGTGAATCGGTCTTCTATAGCCCATTCCTCTGCGATTTGATCCTTCATAAGAAATCAACCTGTGATTCGATCCTCCATAGCCCATCCCCCAAAGACGTGCTGCTCCATAACCGAAATCCATCTGATTGGCCCCCATCTGCCAGACATTCCCCTCTCCGTGACCGGTACTCCTTGACATCTGTGTCTGACATCCCTGATGTTCAGGTATCATCAAATCACGTGTGGCACCAAGTCCATTCAAGTCAACATTCCGTGTCTTGGGCTCAACATTACACACGCGACATCTTGGATCTTTCGGTATTCCTCCTAAGCTATGGCCTATGCCCAGCACACCCGTTCGAGTAAGCACTAAACTCGATATGTCCACATGCTCTGTGTAGAACACTTCTACCCACAGTTGCTGTCGGGAAAGTGTCTGGTATCTGTCTCCATGCCTGGAAAGGAACCTGTTGTTGTAAGGATCCAGTTTGATCAGCTCCTGCTCACAGAAACGGTCGGACACCGAGCCATCCTTTGTGATCACCAAGACTACATAATGAGTGTCAGCACCTCCAGGCATACAGAAGAAGTCTGCGAAATACAACTTGGCCGAGTCATCAAAGACTGACGACAGAGGTAAAATTACTCTAGTGTCCCCAAAAGGTGACCAAGATGGCAGAGCACCATCACGTAAGGTCACTCCAAAAAACAGACCTTCGAGTCTTCCGTTTATTGGACAACGCGGGTCCCCTCCTTTGTCTTTTAAATACTTCTCCATGAGGTTGGCCCTGTTGGTCTGGATATTATCAAAGTAAGCTGATGGTTTGTTGCGGTAAAGGTCCGAAACAGTCTCCGAGTCTCCGCAAGCACAGTGTTCATTCGCCTTCTTCAGCAGCTTCTGGAGGTAGTCTGCAATGATAAAGGAATTTTTCTCAGACACGATACTTCTCCCCATGGAGATATCACGACATTGTGGTACAGAAAATAGGGATTAAAATAGTGCCTGACTTTCGTGCCCTGTCACAGTCAATATTGAAATGTCATGGATGACATACTGTCACTGTGTCATGGCGGCACGTCTTAAATTATATTCCTACTACACAACGTGATTCATGTAATGGAAAAGGCCGTAAAATTGACCAACTGAAATGATTGAAAACCTATTTTTGCACCCAATCAAACTGTTTCTCTGGCAATCACAATATCATGGCTTAACATGGCCGTGACCATTTTGAATGCCAGTGCGCATAACAGGAAATAACGTTTTGAATGATAGCATAGTTTGTGGGTTAGTTTATGATTCAAACGAGGCTGAGCTATTCTTGATAGTGTTCAGGAAATCCAACTCTCACGTGTACAGGCTCACATGGTGGTTATTGAACAATAAATTGAAATGACGTAAACGTTGTGATGTATAACTAATTTTCACAAAAGCACACTTAAATTATCTGTCCCGTGCCCTATGGCACCCTTCGAAAAAACTGCATTGTGTAATATTTCAGATGATAAAGGAGGAGAATTTTGAATAGTTGGTCGCCTTGAAGTTACCATAAGGACCATTAAATGTAACAGCCAAAAATTCAAAATGGCCACTGTTTTCCGAAGACGAGTTCCAATTCCCCTTGACTATAGTCTGTTTGCAGTGACAACGTACCGATGAATTTCACTTTATGCAAAAATGTAGATCGAATAAAGTGAAATTAGGATTGCGAATCCTCATAATTTTACCTTGCCAAATGAAAATTTAAATCTCAGAATTTTATTCAACTTAGGATAAAAGTTATTTAACAAACGATCATAGTTTCAATCGCTATTATTGGTTTGTATTACAAGGGGTATGCACATTAAATGAAACACCGAGGTCGAGCAGGGTTGGTCTAAGTTAACGCTCTTCGTGTACCGCACGTGCATTTGTTTCACTGTTCCAACTACTGCGCCTACCCGCCTAAACTGTAATGGAGTATATGGTGTATATGGAGTGAGTGAGTGAGCGAGTATTGTTTTACGCCGCTTTTAGCAATATTCCAGCAATATCACGGCGGGGGACACCAGAAATGGGCTTCACACATTGTACCCATGTAGGGAATCCAACCCGTGACGAGCGAACGCTTTAACCACTAAGCTACCCAACCGTGTCGTGTATATGTAGAAAGTAGTTTCGTGTTTAGGGGTGATATCGTATATGTGGCCTTGGTGTGACTGTTGCACGTTTAACAAGCTCATAAATTCTCTCTAAATGTGCTCTGGTCGCTGTAAACATGCCATTTCGAGCCATTATATGGACCAATGAAGCTGATACTTCAAGGTCACATGCAACCAAAAAAATCAAACATAATTAAAACACAATTATCACTTATTCATGACATATAATATACATTGTTGATTATGAAAAAACATATATACAAAATTATCAGCGTACAGTCGCAAATCAAAAGTGCAATATTTTGTACTTGGGTTTATTTCCCAAGAAACGATGCAGCCGGGATACCGAACCCAGTCAGAGCGGGTGGGTGTGCACTCAAATGTAACGGCTGGTTCATTTGCAGATGCCCTCACGGCTCATTGTGTGTGTATATAGAGATGTTGGGTTTTGTAAATACATGCTCATTTTTTGTGTGTAACAGTTTGCAATCAACAGACATCATAACATGTAATTTGTACAAGTATCACACCTGCCTGTCTGTGTAATTACATAATGTGACAGAGACCGAACTCGGGCCATAAATCAATGCGTTTTGTTTATGGTGTATAGGCTGATAGGTGTTAAGTTCAAATTGCATGTGGTCAGTGATCGAAGTCGTGTATTGAAAATTGTCATTAGCAAACAGGCAGACACATAGGTGTCAATAAAACAGACATTGAGTTTTGTCTGTGACAACGACATATCTATATCACAGTTAGAAATTCGGTCAAAGCTAAATAATGACATGGCTTTTAAGTATCGAACTGAGAAAGTGACTTGGTAAGAAGAACGTGTGGGTGAAATAGACAAATGAAATTATATAAATAATTTCATTTTGATTAAATCGGTTATCTACTGTTCATAATATGTAAGGGGCGCGCCTGGAAGGGGGCTTTTTCAAGACAGAAACCATATCTTACTTACCAAAACTACAATTTCATTTTGATTTTCAATACTTTTCATAAAATTAGCCAGGATCTGCAAAGTTGTGTTTTACGTTGCATGTGACCTTTCAGTTCCCACAAATAATGAATTTGTTAAGAGATTCCAATAAGATTTTTTCAACATGGCCGCCACAACCGTTGTGCTGAAACGGCCATTGCCCAGTTATTTCTGTTGAAAAATGAATGTAGTGTATTTTTCTTTAAGTACATTCTCTGAAATTACAAGACGGAGTTAGCTGTATTTTGGAATGGGTGGAACCAGTGACCCATTATGTTCAAACCATTAGGATACGTGTGTATTATCATTTTTTGCTGCAGTTAAAACAAGTGGACATACTGCATAATAAAATTACTTTAATTAGAATGTATGTAATGTTTTGGTTCGGTTTGTTGTTTTACGCCGCACTCGGCAATATTCCAACTATATGGCGGTTGTCTGTAAATAATCTAATCTGGACCAGACAATCCAGTGATCAACAGCATCAGCATCGACCTACACAAATGAGATACGATGGCATGTGTCAACCAAGTCAGCGAGCCTGACCACCTGATCCCGTTAGTCGCCTGTAACGACAACCATGTGTTACTGAAGATCATTTCTAACCCTGATCTTCATGAGTTCATGAGTACAAGGTATAAGGCCAGTTGTGTTATATGATTCATTAAATTAAACAGGTCAAACTCTAAACTTTAATCATTACTCATCATAAATGCTGCATGAAGCCAAATCCGATAGCGCAACTCAGATGTCTTAACTATTGGTAATGGGGCGTGATTAATCCGGTACAAAAGTCAAAAGTATAAGGTATTAGCAACTTATTACACCCTTGAATTTACCGTTGCTTTTTCAAGATTTGTATGAGAGTATAACATGGTGATGTTTTAGATGTCTCAAAGACTGGCTGAATCTGTGCTACATTACATTGATAACATGACGCTCCAGCCCTGTGGTAATGGATTACAACAGCTTTATTGTTGTCAGTTTATGAATGCTTCCAAAATGTCATTATTTTTGGGACAGTAAAAACATGTAATAGTTCATAAAGTCAACAGCGCCGCGCCTGTCATGCTTATAATATATATCTTTACATACAAACAACACCGAATGATTTTATGTATTATTTTTAAATCTTAAGAAGTGACATTAAAACTGGTATAGTCCGCGTACACCTAGCTGTTCCTCTTTGCACCCCTCCCTCGTAACAAATAGTGAACTGTGTCAAAATTTTAATAATAGTTTGTTAAACAACTTTTTATTTTGAGGACATATTCTGCAAAAATCACAGAGCTGGTCTGATGTTTTGATTATGATCAGTGTTTCATTGAGAATTATATGTTTAGCAGTTTAGCATTTTGAGCCAAAAGGACTATAATCCTTTAATCATTTCTTCATGCCATGATTTAAATTTTACGGGCATTTTTCGCATATTTATGTGACATTGGCTTATATTTGTTTTCAAAATTTTCAGGATTTACTGTGGAACAATCGATTTTGCTCCGAGATATGTGGCGAAGAAGTCTGTGCCAACGGTCAAGTCAACATTTTTTATGTTTTAACACTGAAAACGACCGGAATCAAGGCAAATGTGCAGTTCAATGTGGACTCAATGAGCAAGGTTATGATCAATCGAAACACAGTACTGAGCTGCTTAGGCGATAAAAGGGAATCAGTATTCACCATTTGGCGAGAATGTCCACCTCACAACTGCGAACATTGCGAAGACCTCGTGAATGCAATATGTCTCTTGGTACACGGAAACTCTGCGACCTGATCACGGATAAAATCATCCGTGGGAACTGGCATACATTTGGAAAATCCCATGACGTCAAATACCGGACGTATGACGCCATAGCGTCCTCACGTGACCGAAAACTCCCACACGTGATAAGGGCAAGATCATACCGTGATGAGGTATACATTTGGACAATTCCATGACGTCATCAACCCCTGGTCTCGTGTTTGAGTCTATTTTAGAATAGCCCCCTAGTAACAGGATGTATTTAGACTGACTCAAATTACTATTTTTAGACTCAGGCAATAAAAGGTCTCCAAACAGTGATTGATAGAGAAAGCACGGGTCTTATGCTCTTGACTTTACTGGTTCTGTTGGCTGTGTACCTTGACAGAAAATGGAAGCAGTTCATCGTGATATGCTAAGGGAGAATCGCTCTGGTCTTGTGGTAGTTATACAACGTGTAGAAGTGGTCGACAAACTGGTACAGTTTAAAGTCCTAACGTATTTAATGAAGGCTGAAATTATCGAAAAACCTCGAAACTCCTTTGACCGTGTCAGACAACTTTTACATTACCTAGACAGAGGGCCCGCAGCTTACGCCCTCTTCTGTAAAGCTTTGAAGGAATGCGGAGAGACAGAGGCCATGAAACTGTTGGTTCTTGACACTCCAGATCCTACTGACAAGCAGTTGACAGTTACAGGATCCCCGTTGTTATCTACATCTGGAGGACGACGTCTTTGTAACGGCAAAGACATGGGATGATGTACTGAGCATTCACATTAGAAAATATGGCTGGTACCCGAGTGGAAAGTCCTACCTACCAAGCGAGGGATTGTGGATATGACATGTGGAATCCTTGACTATTCTTCTATGGAATTAAATCCCTGTTCAGCAACTTTCATCCATCTGTGTTTACCTTGGACGGTGTTACATCTAATTGTGTTGAACAGTGTTATACGTACTCTACAGCAATGTACTTTAGAGATTTGGACGGTGCAGAGCGCATTCTCAAAGAAACTGTTCCAGCCAAATAAAAACGTCTTGGG